TCGATAAAAAATGCAATTTTCTGTAAAAAATCTCCTAGTAATGAAATGTGCAAATTATGTAAATAATATCTCTATCTAACAAGCTTTTATTTGAGATATTAAGCGTTCAATTATCTGAAATACATGCAGAGAAACAACAATGACACCCACAGAGGCTAGATTTTTAAGAAATTTGTATTACCTGTTTGAACAAGTCGTTACTGTCCTCAAAGGACTCGCATGCCATGATTATTTTATGGCATCGGCTCGACGAGGAAGCGAGCGAGAAGAGCTGACTTAGTGGAGGAGTGAGAAAGAGAGCTGTTATTATTCATCATTGCAGTTACGCCATCGCCGCACGCCGAGTGAGAATTAGGTTTAGTTGGTATCAACTACTGCGTACGCGTACACGTTTTACGCACAATTATTATTTTCGAGTTTCCCAGTTCATTTCGAGTGGTTTCTTTATCATCATGGCAGATGCAGAAGATCCGCCGGGACCTCGCCATAGCGAGCACGGGCAAACTTTTACAAATGAAGTATACGCAGACATAATGTTCTGTAATGGTCTTTGTAACGGCGATTCTGCAGCTGCCCGCCGTGAATATCGGCAACGTTTCCCGAATCGCCGAACACCTCATGTTACTGTGTTTGACTCTGTGTATCGGCGCATCCGCCAAACCGGACGTGTTCAAAGGCAACATAGTGATGCTGGTCGACCCCGAGTCTATCCTCCTGAAGATGAAGAGGAAATCCTTCGTGTGTTTCAGGAAGACCCTACTACGTCTACACGCATTGTGGCTGCTCAGTTGGGTCTAACACAATACAAAGTATGGTTTACTGTGCATACTGCAAGATTATACATGCACGCCTGTGCATGTGATTGAAGAGGGCGATCCTGCAAGACGATTAGATTTCTACAGGTACATGTTACATGCAGATACAGAAGATCCAGACTATTTTAAGAAAATTTGATAAGGACGGAATCACTAACTATCACAATGCTCATTACTGAGCTGATAAAAAAGCTTTAAACCCCCTAAAAATAAGACCGACGAGGTCTCAGAGACGGTTTTCAGTCAATGTGTGGATGGGCATCATTGATAGATATTTAATTGGACCTCATTTTCTGCCCGCCAATTTAAATGGAGAAGTGTATGAAGAGTTCTTGAAAAATCACTTGTCTCCATTAATGGAAGACGTCCCATTGGCGACGAAACAAAATTTGCGGTTCCAGCACGACGGCTGTCCCGCTCACTACAGTAGATTAGTACGGGCGTATTTAGACTCTAAATTTCCAAATCAATGGATTGGCAGAGGCGGGCCCATTGCCTGGCCAGCAAGAAGTCCAGATCTCACACCGATGGATTACTAAGTGTGAGGACATATGAAAAGCGTGGTGTACGATGTTTCGCCCGTACCAACGCGCGATGAATTAATTACAAGGATAATCAGTGCAGCTGACCAAATAAAATGCCGCTTAACAACTAGAGTTACCAAAAGTGAATTACGTACGAGAATGCGGGCGTGTATTCGTAACAGGGGATTACAATTTGCGCAGAATCTGTAAAATACTAAAGGAAATGTAATTAAATAAAACTGTAATTAAAATAAAAGCTTTTTATTTGTCCTACGTAATTATCGTTCGTACAACTTTACTCATCTTTTTTTTAATTTTATGTCTTTGTACTTGAGTTAGTTGTAACTTTTATACCTCAAATGTGAGCTTGTTAGATAGAGATATTATTTACATAATTTGCATATTTCATTACTAGGAGATTTTTTACAGAAAATTGCATTTTTTATCGAATAAGTTAGTAAAAAAATAAGAAAATCATACATTTCAAAAGCGTAATTTTAAAAATTTGTAAGTTTTCAACATTTTATTACTTATTATAAACTATTGGAATGTCCGCTATACGACGATAACAAAAAACTCAAAATCAAACATGTAGTTTTGTTGTATTGCAAATTTAACCGTCTGAATAAAAAATTTAAAAAATAAAATTCAAATAACTCAAAAACGGTTAACTTCTGGATAGGGCATTATAGGACAAAATCGGTTGCGTATGACCTGATCTATCACCCCTTAACAAGAATACGTGACATTACAAGTCACCCTGTATAAAGATAACATAGCTATGGTAAGATGTAAAGGAACTCTCGCAACCTATCAGGTATGAAACTGGCATTAGACAAGGATATTCGCTGAGTCCACTAATATTTAATCTGATAATGGATGAAATCATAAAGAAAGTTAAAAAAGAAGAGGATATAGAATGGGAGAAAAGGAAATGCAGATAATATGCTACACCGACGACGCCATAATAATAGCCGACGATGAACATGACCTACAAAGATTAATTAAAGAATTCGAAGATATGGCGCTCGTATACAACATTGTGATTTCAACAGATAAAACTAAATCGATAGTGATATCAGCGGAACCGAGACGATGTAAACTGGTCGTAAATAACAAAATAATAGAACAAGTGATGGAAACGAAATACTTGGGAATCAAACTGTCAAGCTATGGAAAAGTGGAAGAAGAAGTACAAAAACAAGTGAACATGGCGAACAGAGCAGCAGGATGTCTCAACAATACAATCTGGAGAAACAAATACCTCACAACGGAAACGAAAACTAGGATATATAAATCAACAATAAGACCGATAATGACGTACACAACGGAAACAAGAGCAGATACGGCGAAAACGCAAACATTATTGGAAACAGCAGAAATGAAAGTCTTACGAAAAATAACAAACCAAACTCTAAGAGACAGAGTAAGAAGTCAGGAAATATGAACGAGATGTGGTATAGAGGAAATAAACCTGTGGACCAAAAGAAGAAAAATAGAATGGAATCAACAGATAGAAAGAATGACAGAAAATAGAACAGTACGAATAGCAAGAGACAAATCGCCGAATGGAAGAAGATCAATCGGACGACCGAGGAAAAGATGGACAGACAACATCAATTGACGCTAAAAACCGATGTAAAACAGGCATGAGCAGATCGTGAGGTATCATTCTACAATCTATCAAAAATTCTACATGCTGCGCTACTGGGCGAGGAAGTAAAAATCGCGAAAAATTTCGTAAATGTGATATTATGTTTTTTGGATGTAGTATGGCATGTGCATCACGAAAAATTAAGTGATTCATTGCCGTCGGTCTGTATATCTTTCTAACATCCCAATAGGCTGGTAATAATCAAGAACCATTTTTCATTATCATTTTGAGCATATTGAACAGTAGTGGTCCTAATGCGAACTTGGTACGATGGTATAGCAAGGTGAATTATGCAAAACAAGAACTCTTTTGGTGCAAATGCCCTTTTCCATCATGTGTGGAGTATCTATCCTATTACAATCTTTGAATATGTCAAAATTCACGGAGCACTCTGACATTATTATTGCTCTCCACTCTATTTCTTCCACTTGAAACAAAAGCCGTCCTCTTCTACCAGTTCTATCATCCAATAACTCATACAGGATACTAGACGTTTCGTCCCTAAGAGCTTCCGACTTGGGATATAAAGGTTCCAGAGTTCAATTAATTAGAAATGACTCTATACAGAGATGTTCCCCGGGTACTTTTTTTAAATGTAAGGCTGGCTGTCGTAGAGCGTTACTCTTAGACGGACGACCCTAAGGACACGCTACTTTTTATTATAGTTCGATTTGTCATCCGGGTAGATGGCAATGCAGCGACGTACGTAATTTGCCCTTCATCACCATTAAATATTACCGAATTGTTTATCGAATGCTGGATACAGTGTGCCGTGTATTTGCATTGTGCATTGTTGGCAGATACAAAATGAACGAAGTATTGACAGGCAGGAAATTTTTAAGCCGGAGATTCTTGCCTAGATAAGCAAATCAAAAATCTAATATAATTGAAAATATAGTACGGTCTCCACCATAAAGCCTGCCAGCTGTATTACTACTTCGCTGCTGTTCAAAAGTAAAGTTTTGTTATGTCCGGTTTTTCAATCGCAAGTTAATTCTGAAGTCACTTGGAGGTTGAGTATAACTTGAAAATACGTTTTTCAAGTTCTAGTTAACTAACTTGTAATCATGGAAGCCGCTTCTACGTTTGAACTATCGTGTTCTGTGCATTTCATGACGCTCGATATTTATGTGTCGTGTCATCAGTGACAACTCATAGCACTGTCAAGCAGAATAGGTTAAAACAGTATTACCAGACCTAGGGAAATTTCCATATATCTAGGGACTTACGAGCAAGCTTACAGAAAAAGGGAAATTCATTTAAATTTGTACAAAATCTAGGGAATTCTAAACTCTGTAAGACAAGTTTAAGCAGCAGGGACAAGAAATAAATTAGAGATAGAGAATAAACTAAGAAACAAATATATTACTTTTAAAATACTTTCCGATTGTACCTATAAAATATGATTCAAAATATATTAAAATGAACGGACACCAAATTGTATCAACAAACCGGTCGGAAATCATAACTCATAACATTCGGAGAATTTCTAAACGAAACGCTGTGGTTCCCCGTTGGTGATTCCTCATCGGTGATTTCCCGTCGGTGAATACCAGAACGGTATTTTACATACCTGGTCTATAATAATATAATATATAAACCGACGGGTGGTTTCTGTTGCATTTCCTGCTGTTTATATGTAATTGTACGGATTGTGCCCTGTGCTAACTGTGCCTTAGAATAACCATTGTTTTTAGTTTGTGCTCTAAAATTATTAACGAATAATCAAGTTTTTCGACATTGAACGTATTTGCCATAGGTAAGTACCGACTTATTATAAAATATTTACTTTTTCAATTATTATACTTGATCGGGGAGGTTCCTCAGAGTTCACTCAGAAATTAGTTATCTAGTATTAAAGTTAATGAAAAAATATTTCTATAAATTAATGAAATATTGATATCTTAGACGTACATATTATAATATGTATATCTATGGTATATGCATTTCAAACCAAACTTCTAAAATTGTTTGCTATTCTTTCTTTATAATTACAGATGTAACATCATGTCCTCAATTACACCTCAACCATCAACTTCTAAACATGCTGATGAATTGGAATCCCCACCGTCTTCTTCTGAAGAAGCTGGAGACATAAGAAAAAAAATCATAAAGTCCTATACTCAGAAATATACCGCTGCATGGGAACAAGAACCTGAATTTAAAGGTTGGCTGAGAAGCGGCAAGAAAGTATCCAATTATGCATTCTGCAAGGTATGCAATAAAGATTTTATATGTGACAAATCCGAAATCCAGAAACATTTTTCATGAAAACAACACACTAAAATGGTAAAATCATTACACACCCAAAAAACTTGTCACATATGACATCTTATATGGAAAAATATCTTTAAATAACAAAATCAAAACTGCTGAAATTCGAATTGCAGCATATGCAGCTGAACATAACATTTCATTTAATACTTTAGACCATTTATCAGAAATTATTAGAACATCATGTGACGATTCAAAGATTGCTAAAGACTTCACATGTTCTCGCACCAAAGCTACAGCTATTGCCAATAATGTTTTAGGGAAGTACAATTTTGAAAATTCTATTAATTTATTACAAACAAATAAATTTTCATGAATTGCTGATGAATCTACCGATAAAGGCGCAATTAAACATAGTGGCACGTATTTTTTATGAACATAAACTGACTTCTTCTTTGGTCTATTGCCTGTAGCAGATGCAATAGCAGAAGGACTTTACAACACTATTGTAAATTATTTTTCAAAATGTAATGTTAATTATAAAGAAAATCTAATAGGCTTTGCATCACATGGTGCAAGCGCTATGATGGGAATTCATAATTCATTATGCACCAAACTAAAAGCCGATATTCCTAATTTATTCATTATGAAATGTGTCTGTCATTCATTTAGTTTATGTGTTAATTATGCGTGTGCTAAATTACCAGATGATATTGAACAAATGGCTAAACATGTTCATACGTATCTACAATACAGTTTTAAAAGACAAACTGAATTTGCAGAATTTCAGGAGTTTGTAGCAGTAAAACCTCATAAAATTTTACAACCCTCTCAAACAAGGTGGTCTGTATTGCCTGTTGTAAAAAGAATACTTGAGCAATACGTATGATGCTTTAAAATTATATTTTACAGATGCTACAATAAAAATGGCATTCAAGCACAAAATATATTAAATTTTTATCAAAATCCATCTACCATATTATATTTACATTTTTTAAACTTTGTGCTGCCGTTTTTTATGGAATTAAATTTAGAAATGCAATCCGGAATTATCAAAACACACATTTTATATAAACGCGTTCAACATGTGTTAAGAACAATTTTGGATTGTTACATGAAGAAGGATTATTTAGATAAAACTTTGATTGAAAAAGTAGAATATAAAAATCCTCATAATTTTGTGGAAATAGAAAACATTTATTTAGGTGTCTACGTAACAGGTGCTATAAGCAATAATGAACATAAAGTAAATGATACAGAATTATTTGACTCCACAAAGTTGTTTTCAGATTTATAAAAGATTTGATAATAAAAGCAAAACTGTTGCTACCCTAAAATATATGTCACTTATATTACCAGATGAAGTAATTGCAAAAAAACAAGCATCATTAGGGCCTTTAGTTTTCCATTTTCCCAACTTGACAACTGATAACGTAAATTAAATAGACAAAGAATAGCGTTGCCTAAGAAATCTTGATTTAAGTGAATATAGAAATTTAAACGTTCAAGAATTTTGGGAAAAAATTTCAACATTAAAATCTGGTGATGATTCTCTTATGTTTCCAACCTTAACTAATTTTGTGTTTAATCTGTTTAGTTTGCCACATTCAAGTGAAAATTTGGAAAGGATATTTTCCCAAATAAATCTAAACAAAACTAAAATAAGAAATGAATTATCGACTGAAAGTTTAAGTGGAATTTTACATGCCAAATTTTTATTGAAAAATGACAGTTGCTACAACTTTAGCATCCCTAATGATTTGTTTAGAAGAATGGATTCGTCAATGTACAATAAAGCTCAAAATTAAATTATAATACCTACTTTTGATTATTTTGCTTTATTGTTTTCTTAAAAACAAAATATTGTATGTTATGATATGTTCGTTCGTTTGCTATTTATACAAAATATTTTTTTTATATTTTTTATAACATGCTTAAGTTATCATGTATTTTAGTTTACATTATATATTTTAAGAAATACAACTTACGTTAATTAAACTAATTATACGTAAAAAAATTGTTTACATTTGATTATCCTCCTACCCCAAATTACAAACAATATTAAGATGAATATTAAATATATAAAAGGAATTCTAAAATAAACATGGATTATTAAGTTGTTAGGAAGTCTAGGAAAATTTTGGCAAAAAATAATCGCCTGGCAACACTGGTTAAACATTGTGGTGTTACTACAACTTTTTATTTCACCAATACATGAGGACTGTTATACTATAAATTTTGATTTTTGATTTTAAAATGAAATATTAGGATGTAACTTTTACGAAAATATATTTTTTTCTTTAAGGAACCCTCTGCTTGCTATTTTATAACTTCAAAGTTGCATTTTTGATGGTAATACTCTAGAATAGATACGCTGTTTTTTTTTTTGCTTTACGCACAAAGGCATGCTTCAAATTATAAGAATATAACATATACTGTATAGTACTAAGGAAAACAGATGTGAAACTGTAGCTAAAATGACAGTTCAAAATACATATTATATATATATATATATATATATATATATATATAAACTGTTTACTTATTTCGTACAACTTTGTGACATACCCACCAGAAACATTGAAAAGAACTGTAAGAGTGGATGCCTTAAGAGAAGTACTCTACAAGACGTTCTACGGAGAACTGCAACGATCGGTTACTCAAAAAGTTGAAGAATAATTATAAAACTTGCAGCTATGATATAACTGATACGAGCAATTCAACTAAAATATTTTAAAAGTGATGGCATTGCTTTTTGTACTGACAGTAAATTGCTTATTTTAAATATTATTCAGTTTTTGAAATCCACACAAGATTCTAAATAACGGGTGTGGCTGCTTATGGCGCATGCGTCATGACAACTAATTTGACATTTCCTGTTTCAGTATGGTTCGACATTTCATCATGAAAAGACTTGGTCCAGCACAGCGTCTACTAATAATTCAGCTGTACTACGAAACTCAATGTTCTGCGAGAAGTGTGTTTCGTGCACTTAAGGCTGCTACACACAGTGCCGCCGGGCATACAAAGCCGCCGGCCTTGCCGCGCAAAGGAGCCGCTGTGGTGTGCCGGCGGGTTACGCGGCTTGCCGGCGTCACTTCGTTCCTGGCATTCGAGCGGTAGTGTTGTGCGGTTTGTGTGATTAAACAAATTAAAATGTCGTTTAATTGGGACGACGAAGCTGTGCTGCTCTTAATTGAAAAATTTCATGAAAATGATATATTATGGAATCCCAGAAATGCAGCACTTCACTAGCTTTCTATGTGACTGTCACAACCGGAATGATGCTTGACGGCTTTGCGCGGCTTGTATTGCCGGCGGCATGGCCGCTCGGCATAAACCCGGCGGCATTGCCGCCGGATTGTGTGTAGTAGCTTTAAAAGCGGCAATACAAGTCGCCGGCATAAGCCGCGCAAAGCCGCCAAGCATCATTAAGGTTGTGACAGTCACAGAGAACGCTAGTGAAGTGCATATTTTATGGTTGGTTGGTTAAAATGAATAAGGAAATCATCAGCACAGCCGCCGCAGTTGTAATTTTTATTTTAATAAGAAAAAATAGAAAAGGACGAGAAGGTTTGGGTTGCACCCAAGTTTACAAAATAGAAAATGGCGAAACGGTACTGTAATGATAGAAGAGTATAAGAAAGATGATCTGGGGTGTCAGCGTTTGCGCAATAGCATGTTTTTTGGGTTTCTGTACATCGTCTATGCCTGCACCAGATTTGTGCAACTGTTCGAACTTCTTTTTTTCCCGAAAATAATGAGAGGTTACATTTTTTAACTTTCTCTCTACTTCGCCTTTATCAATGTCAAATACACTTGCAATTATGTTCAGTGCGTCGATTGTTCCTATTCTTATAGTCTGCATTTCTGGGATTCCATAATATATCATTTTCATGAAATTTTTCAATTAAGAGCAGCACAGCTTCGTCGTTCCAATTAAACGACATTTTAAACACACAATAGGCACAACACTACCGCTCGAATGCCAGGAACGAAGTGACGCCGGCAAGCCGCGTAACCCGCAGGCATTCCCCGGCGGCAATGCCGGCGGCTCTTTTGCGCGGCAAGGCCGGCACTGAGTGTAGCAGCCTTGAGAGCAACTTATGGTGTACATAATCGGCCCACCGAACGCACAATTCGCCGTACGGTCGAAAAATTTAAAACCCAATTTTCATTATTGGATAATACCCGACCAAATAGACCACATCCAGCACGCAGTGAAGAAAATATAGCTGCGGTAGCTGAGAGTATACGTTAGGACCGTGAAGAATCGATTCGGCGCCGTTCTCAACAGCTTGGCTTGTCGTATTCAACAACTTGGCGTATTTTACGTAAGAATCTTAATTTGAAACCGTACAAAATTCAACTCGTTCAAGAATTGAAGCCCGTCGACGTTCCGAAGCGTCATCGTTTCAGTCTTTGGGCTCTTGCACGGCTTGAACAAGATCCGATGTTTTCGAGCAAAATTTTGTTTAGCGATGAGGCCCATTTTTGGCTTAACGGCTACGTTAATAAACAAAACTGTCGTATTTGGGGTGAAGAACAACCCGAAGTGGTTCAAGAGCTGCCATTACATCCAGCGAAAACAACGGTTTGGTGTGATTTATATTATATGGAATCATCGGTCCCTATTTTTTTAAAAATGAGGCCGGTCAGAACGTAACTGTGAATGGTGCTCGTTACCGCGCCCTGATAACGGATTATTTGCTGCCTGAAATTGAAACCCGTAATCTCGATGACATTTGGTTCCAACATGGCTTTATTGCGAGAACATTTCGATGAAAACTTAATTTCACGATTTGGACCAGTGAATTGGCCACCTGGATCATGTGATATCACACCTCTAGACTTTTTCCTTTGGGTCTACGTTAAGTCCAAAGCCTTCATTGATAAGCCCAATACAATTGAGGAAATAGAAGCCAAAATTACGCAGGTCATTCGCCAAATTCCAGTCGAAATGCTCCAACGTATCATCGAAAATTTTAACTTTAGAATGGACCATCTCAACCGCAGTCAGGGCCAACATTTGAAAGAAATAATATTTAAAAAATTAATGTCAAAAATAGTTCTTTTCTTTAATAAAAAACATTTGACAAGAATAAAGAATTTTGTTATTTTATTTTGTTGCTGAAAAAAGTACCTATAAATGAATCACCCATTACATCCTATACCAGACATAACTCAACCGTTTTTGAAATATCAAATTTTATGTAAAACATCGCAGACTCAGGTCCATAAAAGCCTAATCGACGATCTCAAATCAATACCCCGTAAGTCCGAAAATATCGATTTTCTGATTTTGTTCTGTTTTGATTCGCGTATGTCCTACAGCATCAAAACAGAACAAAATCAGAAAATCAATATTTTCGGACTTACGAGATATTGATTTGAGATCGCCGCTATCAGTTTTACGTATATTTTTATGTTTGTCGAATGATTTGTAAGTGCTTCTAAAGGGTGGGCAATCAGTTTTAGTTGGTATTATTTTGACAGTTGGTAACACTTCCATGCTCAACATATTGACATATATATATATATATATATATATATATATATATATATTGTGTCAAACTTCCGCTGTGAGCAATGGATCGTTTTAATCTTGAGGGAAATATTGAAAAACTATTTTCAAAGTGGGTGCGGTGTTGCGAAAATTGAGAAGACTATTTGGTCGGAATGAAGCTCCGTCCCCCAGTGGTATACGAAAATTCGTGAAGAATTTTCGTGAATCTGGCCTGCTTGTGGATAGCAGAAGGTATGAGCGTGTTCGACCCGTACGTACAGCCGAAAACATTGCTGATGTTGCCCAGAGTGTGCGTGAAAACGCAAGAATGTCAACTCGTCACAGAGCACAACAAGTGGGCATCAGTCGCACTTTTGTGCGGAGAATATTGCATACCGACCTGGGATTATTTCCTTACAAGGTGCAACTTGTGCAAGAGTTGAAACAAATTGTCCATCCGCTTGGATATGGTTTCTCTGTGTGGGTTCTAAATCAATTGGAAACGGACGTCAATTTTGGTCGCAAAATAATATTTTCGGACGAAGCCCATTTCCATTTAGGAGGTTACGTTAACAAGCAGAACTCTAGGATTTGTGGTTCTGAAAATCCACATGTCATCATAGAAAAACCAATGCATCCAAAAAGGGTAACTGTTTGGTGTGGCTTTTGAGTAGTGGGATTATTGGTCCTACTTTTTTCAAGATGAAGATTGTAACAGCGTGACGGTAAACGGGGAACGCTATAGAGACATATCGAGTTTTTTATGGCCACTATCAGACGACATGCACTTGCACATCTGGTTCCAGCAGGATGACGCAACATGCCACATCAGCCGTCAAACAATCGATATTTTACACCCTAAGTTCGGTCATCGCGTTATCAGCCGTTTTGGAGACGTTCATTGACATCTGTGATTTAACGCCCATGGATTACTTCCTATGGGTACTGTTATGGACCGCTGTTACACTAACGATCCTCAAACAATTGATGCTCTTAGGAAAAATATCCGTCGAGCTATTGATGAAATAGACCCACAAACTGTCGAAAATGGGCTTCAAAATTGGGTTAAGAGGATGGACTACTGCCAGGCCAGCCGCGACAGCCATTTAACTGAAATACATATTATCGAAGAGTGTTGTCTAAATACCAATTTAAAATAGAAACCAACGGATGGCCCACCCTATTCATAAAAGGGGCTACTGTAGCACTTACGAGTGTGGTCTGAAAAACATTTTGTCCGTTTTTTTTTATTATTTTTCAACATAGCCTCCTTGCAGTGGCATAGCCAGAAACTTCGTTCGGGGGGGGGTCCGGGATTTTTTTTTAAAAACGGTAAGGAATAGATGGCTTAAATCCATTTTAACACTGCATAATCGAAAAAACTTCTTAGAAATTCAGGTTTTCTTAATATTTTTATTTATTTTATGATGAACAAAAGTAGTAATTCTGTTTTAACTAAATAAACATAAAAATAGTGCTGTAACTTATCCGGAGCTTTAAACTTTTTAAAAACCATAAGTAATGCTGGAAAAACAACAGATGTAGAGCATTTTAGTTAGAATGTCTTTATAACATTCTAAGATTAGTCGAATGAATAAATTAACAAAATGATGCCCTAAGTTACAGCACTAATCTCCTATTTCCATATCTGGCCATTTCATCGATAACTTCGTCACTGTTGATTGGAGCTGGATAGTGAATTGACAGAAGAGCAAGCCCATTTAATCGTTGGTCATTCATGGAATTCCTCAGATAGCTCTTAATTCTTTTGAGAGATGAAAATGATCTCTCTACTTCTGCTGTTGAAACTGGTAATGTAGCAAGCACCTACAATAGAAAAGTTATTTGTTGTAAGTTCTATTTGATCTCTCTTAGTTTTGGCTAGAAATCAGTTGGGGATTATTAAATGTTTTCCCGTTTTATTTTCGATCAATATTTCATTTCACTATTTGTCGTTATAAATCGTCTTGATTTGAATATTTTTCAATAATGTAAAAAAGTACTAAAATAAACTTATACATGCCTACTTAGTTGTATAATAATAAATAGTTACCTGGAGCAAATATTTGATAGCAGGGTAGAAGCTTTTATCGCAGGCATCTAGAACCGACATGATTTTCTTAGGAATTTCAGATTCTTGTATATTTTTCCATTTTGTATTCCACAGCATATACTCTGCCTCGACCTTACAATCAGACCACTGACTATCGTAGAACAGCTTCAGTGTTTTCAGTTTGTGAATGTTTGTTTCTTTTACATTCTTTGGGAGTAAACAATCTAGAACTTCCAAAATATCTCTGTTTTTCCCAAACCGCTCAACCAAATTAGAAATCAATGAATCTACACATGGTATGAATATTGATCGACGATAATATTCTTCAGGAGTAGAGTAAGGGGGGTTGTCTCTTTTAGTTTGCTTCCCCACTAGCCGGGGCACAACAATTGCTGTTCTAAAATTATCTTGAGGCATTTTTTCAGCCTTTTCAAATAACCGATGGAATTGCCTGATATCACTGCTGTCTCCATTTTCGGATGGTTTACGCAAATCCTTCAGACGTTCAACCGTGTCATCAGCAAATTTTAGGGCAGATGACAGGTCACTCTCAGGTTTCTGGAGATATTTTGAAAGAGGAAGGGTGATGCTGAATATGAATTCACACACCACCATTGCAACGAGAAAACTTCCTTTTTCGATAGAGGCTAGAAGATTGGCAGCTGAAGACGATATTGCTCTATTGGACGTAGATAACTCTTCCAAAGTAGCAACTATAACTGGAAATACTTCGACAAATGTATGGACAGAATCTTGTCTTTCGATGAATCTTGTATCACACAGGCTAAGGAGGCGGCTTTTTTGAGTTTCTGGCACAAGATTCTCAATATACCTCTTTAGAATATCACCGCTTTGAGTATTATTTCTCATCATATTGGCCACTTCATTTATAGTTCCCAAACAATTCCTTATGTAAGACATGTCTAAGGAGTCACTCAACACCAAATTTAGACGATGTGCAACACAGTGCACATAAATAGCTTTGGGGTGTTATTCCCGAAATCTTTGATGTACGCCAGACAAATGTCCACTAAACGTTGAACAACCATCGTACCCTTGACCAATGACTTTATCCATGTTGAGACCTACACTTGCACAAATTGTTAAAATAGTTTCATAAATGCTTTCAGCAGACAAATCTGTTATGTGGGTGAATGCAATGAAATCTTCTTTAAGGATCGGTTTGTTTTCATTCAAAATGTACCGAATGCAAAGTGAAAACTGCTCTTTCCCAGACACATCAAGCGTTTCATCTCCTAAAATGGAAAAACACTCTGCACTGTTTACAGACTGAACCACTTTTTTCTGTATAAGTTTTCCACAAATGACAATAATCTCATTCTGGATTTCAGGGCTTATATAGGTTGCATTTCGTGCAGAGTTAAAAATGTGTTTTTTAGAACTTTCATCGGTGACTGCCCGGTACCTGAGTAAGGCTCGAAATTTGCCCTCCTTTTCTAAAGGTTTTTCGGGCGTCAGTGGCCCACTGTCCCGATGTCCCCGAAGAGGTATTTCATTTTCTCGACATAATATAATTGTGTCAATTATAGGCTTGAGTGAAGCTCTGTTTTGTTCTCTTTCTTTTCTCTTCTGCGAATCCAACATCACTGTGATATCTTCCATTCGGCCAGAGTCGACCTTCATAAAGTTTTCTGCAGCTAGACAAGAAAATTTGTGGTACTCAGAGTTGCTGTGAGAGGTGAATTTATCTATTGCGTCTTTCCACTTTCTAAAAGGCATGGTTACTAAGGCTCCCAATTTTTGGTGTTGGCCTTTACCAGTGAACTCATTGGCAAATAACACACAAAACTTGCAGTAAGTTCCATCCTTAGCCTTAGAATAAGCCAGCCAATTAAACATTTTTAGCCAGGTCCTCTGAAACTTTAATTTTTTATTGTTGATCACGGTTACTGGAAAGCTAAAATTCTCATCCGGATAACATAAGTCATTCAGCACTTTACTTTTCAAATCCGTAGTTTTACCAAATCTGGTTGTGGAGTGGAATAAATGGTCGGAAACTATGCCAATATCTACACAAGACGATGAACAACATGGATCTGGAGTCAACGTAATGCTTTCTTCTTCTATCGAGCCAATAGTGGTTCCTTCTATTTTTCGTGGCAACAGCGGAACTAACACTTTGTCACTTGATTCCGGGTCCGTTTTTAAGGTTTTTGGCTTAAAAAACTGATCTATGGTTCTCTTACTCATTTTTAAAAGAAGCTGTAGTGAAGATTACAATATAAACTTGAGTCATTAGCGTGAACCAAACAGGACAGCGGAACAGCGGAACAGCGCCGGCGCGGCAGTCGCTCAGTAGCGCTTCCACTAGTGTTTGACCGCGGGCGCGGCTGCCGTGAGAGCTAGACAGTCGAAACTTTTGAATGTGTTGATATTTCGGGGGGGGTCCGGACCCCCCGGACCCCCCCTCTCGCTACGCCGCTGCCTCCTTGTAACTCTACACACTTATCCCAGCGATATTCCCGTCTCTGTGATCAGTTCACATAGTACTCGGCGTTTTTCTCTGCAAAATAATTGTTCACGAAGGTGATTGTCTCTTCATTTTACAAAAATCTCTGTCCTTGGGGCTAGATCTGGTCAGTAAGGCAGATGGTCAAGCAGTTCAAACCATAATTCATTGATTTTCGCCATGAAACCGCAATCGATTAAAATAACTCCTTGAATATCCCAAAAAACGCCATCACTTTTCCAGCCGACAAAACTGTTTGGACTGTATTTTTGTTTCAGGCGTATAATGGTGTATCCAAGTTTCATCTACAATAATTAATCGGCGCCAAAACTCGGATTTATTGCGCCTGAACTGCGCCATCAGAGCGTTGGAAATGTTCATTCGAACACGTTTTTGGTCTAACGTGAGCAAACAACGCGCGGACAGCTTTATCATGCGTAAATGTTGATCTAATATGTGACAAACACGTCCTTTTGACATCTTCATAAGGTCTGCTATCTCTCTCACTTTAATTCGGCGGTCGTCTAGCACCATTTGGTGAACTTTGGCGATGTTTTCGTCGTCCCGAACGTTCATCGTCTCTCAAGCTCTTACGGCCAAAAACTTCACCGTGGTAAATGATTCTGCAGGGTCCCCATACACAGAATCCAACTCATCTTTGACTGGCGCAGACGTATTGCCTTTCAAAAACAAATATTTGATGACAGCTAGATATTCGATTGTTTCCGTTTTCACAAAAACACTCACATCAGCTCACTCAAACGACTGATACCTAACAACTGCGCGTCCTAAATGGCTGAAACATTTGTGTGTAACTGTCAACAGATGGACAACAAAATTCACTAGCTTTTATTTGGGAATGCTGTGATCTGCATGTTGAGGTCAAAAAGTGTTCAGACCACCCTCGTAATTCGATATTTTGACGATTAATACTACATGGTGGTGGGGAAAATCGAATGAAAATTAAAATATCAAAAGTCAATTTTTTCAAACGGAAACCGCCTGTTTTTTTACACTCTCATCATCTCAAGCAATATAAATAAGGATAGTTTTGTATAATTTTATCCACTTTACAGATTAGTACTTTAGTAAATTTGTGCAAATACTCGTTGTTCTATCTATCCTACGATATGTATTCCTTTGTTGTCAAAGTGACATTTCAAAAATAATGTAGTATTTATTATTTAATTACCGCATCTGAGTCAGTTTGCTAGAATATATATATATATATATATAACATATATATACTTCGACTTCGAAGTTGAATCATTTATTTTAACAGTGAGTAGATCTGATCAAAAGAAATATTTTTTGACTTTAACATTTTTCTGGTAAAATTAAAGTAACAAAGTTATAGCCCCTTGGAAATTTGAGTACCGCCCTGTCTCAATAATAATATTATATTCTCGTGTTTCTCAACAACGGATATAATCCGCCTTACCGGTTCATAGCATCGGAAACAAAAAAGCGAAAGAATTTGGAACGATGTTTTTACAATTATTTTATTCAGTTGTATACAGTCAGTGTCAGTCGGTAACGCGTGAGTGAATAGTAGTGTCTGTTGCGTGGCTCAAATGAAATCAAAAATGGCACATGTTTACGAAAATGCTGAACTTGTGGACATGATTCTTATTTACAAAATGCTGCCGCGGCATCACGGATTTGTGCGAATCGGTTTCCCAATCGAGTGCAACCAACCCCTCGTGCCTTTGGACTCGTGAATCAGGAGACTTAAGACCTTACAGGGGAGCGCCTGCCGGTGCTCCAAGACCGCACGATCAAATACAGGTCCGCACTGAAATACTTGTGCGGAGGATACTTCATAAAACAAGTTAACATTTTTTTTTTATGTTTTTTTATTTTTACACACATATTTTGGTTTATCTTCCTTCTACAATCATTATCTGAAAATTAATGACTCAACTTCAAAGTCACCCTGTATATATATATATAGGGTGGCCCATCCATGTGTGGACGGAATTTTACTCATAAACAAATACATTTTGAGAAAATCTATTCATGGGATGCATGACAGTTGAGGGCATATTTCTAAAATATCGGCCATTATACACGGTGTCCCAATTCCAACCTACATATCAAAGTTGTCTTTTTTCAAATAGAATGCCTCAAATATTATTGAATGTTTGGATAAACCAATTCAAAAGATGAAAATCGATGTATGGGGTTTTGGTAATTAGTTACTGAGATTTAAGGTATTTTGTCTGGAAAAACCTCCCAATTCGGCAGCCCCTCAGTCCACCATTTTGAAATTTGGAGTGCTGAATTTTATGTCAAAGAAAACTTACACAGCTCAGCTTTTATCTTATTTGTTACTTTTTCAAATTTTGATTTTTGCTCATACAGGGTGGTCAAAAACGCAAATTGTAGTTCTTCTCAAAAATTTCAAATGCATCACCCTATATATTTGTGCAAGTTTGGATTCATTTTTTTATAATCTTCTTTTTGATACTAGACACATAAGGGCTTTTACGTCTATTTTTTCAGTTATTAGCACGTCTTCTATGGAACAGCTTAAAACGTGTTTGAAAATGAACTTTCCTAAAGCAGAAATGGTGAATATGGTGTTCGTTTTGGTCGAAGCCCAAGGGCTCTATTCTAGGACCTGTGCTATTCAGTCTATATGTAAATGACCTTGAGCTCTGTTCCTCAGAGAGGTAGATTCATTTCATATGCAGATGATACTTCAGTGGTGATATCGAATAAGTGTGAGGCTACATTAGAGAGATATTGTGGAGTTTTAATGCAAGGTATTCACAAGTGGTTTAGCAGCAATCAGCTCTACTTGAATTCAGACTGTGTAGATATTGCTTCAAAGATAAACTCCCAATCATATCTTATGAAAAAGTTGCGAACTGTCCTTACCGAATCACAGATAGTTTCTGTTTACTATGCTCAAGTTGAAACACGACAGAGGTATGCACTATGCTCCTGGGGTTTGTCCACAAATGCCCAACAAGTATTTTTGGCCCAAAAGAGAGTGGTTAGATGCATGATGGGAGTCAGTAGTAGGCATTCTTGTAAGGATATTTATAACCGCCTTAAGATTTTATTTTTACCATCTATATTTTCATACGAAATGGCTGTGTATACTTTTATTAACCAAACTAAGTTTTTAAACAATTTTAACACGTAATCGACCAGACAAGCCGGAGACTTAAATGTGTATTTTTCCAAGTATAAGATCGGCGTCAGATCTCCGGAAATACTGGGTCCACGAATTTTCAACAGGCAACCAAACCATATTAAAGAGTGTGGAGATATACATAATTTTAAGGCTAAACTGACAGATTTTCTTGTGTGTAAATGTTATTATGCCGTCTCTGAGTTTGTTGTGTTATGATGTATTTGTGTGTTTGTTTTATATATATATTTATTTTGTGTTGTTTTATTAGTTTTTATTCCGACGAATCCTATACATACTTTGTAATGTCTCTTAGGATAATAAAAGAATTTGAATTTGAAATAGTTTTCCAGCATCTCACATTTATAAGCAACGGTACCCTAATATGCGACATCCAATTCCGGAAACATTTTCCACACTACGAGAACGTTTTGAATCAAGTATAGCAGTGGAATATAAGAAGATATATGTATAAATAATAGAAGTGACACCAATGAGGCGAATCAGTTGGACGTTCTATTAAAAAAAACTTATATATGCAGAACTTCTGTCAAATCTGTACTTTTAGTGGCAATATGGAACTAGCCCACTGTTTGTCTTTTGTTTCCATGGATGATGTGACTTTTTTCCTTAATTTTGGTGTGTTCTATTAAAAGCTTAATAACTCAAAATCTAGTGATTTTATCTGAATCAAAGCGTATACTACAAAAAAACTTATAAAAAATTGAATCCAAACGCTAGTAGATATACAGGGTGATGCATTTTAAATTTTTGAGAAAAAGTACAATTCGCGTTTTTGACCACCCTGTGTGTTTCCTTAATTTTGGTGTGTTCTATTAAAAGCTTAATAACTCAAAATCTAGTGATTTTATCTGAATCAAAGCGTATACTACAAAAAAACTTATAAAAAATTGAATCCAAACGCTAGTAGATATACAGGGTGATGCATTTTAAATTTTTGAGAAAAAGTACAATTCGCGTTTTTGACCACCCTGTGTGAGCAAAAATAAAAAATTGAAAAAGTTACAGACAGAATAAAAGCCGAGGTGTGTAGGGTTTTATTTTATACAAAACTCAGCACTCTAAATTTCAAAATGGCGGAGTGAGGGGTTGCCGAGGTGGACGGT